CCCGCCACAATGCTTGGCTGTTTGTTTTTTTAATTTTTTTTTTTTTATAGAGACAGAGTCTCACTTTATCGCCCTGGGTAGAGTGCTGTGGTGTCACACAGCTCACAGCAACCTCCAACTCCTGGGCTTAGGCAATTCTCTTGCCTCATCCTCCTGAGTAGCTGGGACTACAGCCGCCTGCCATAATGCCTGGCTATTTTTTTGTTGCAATTTGGCCACGGCTGGGTTTAAACCCACCACCCTTGGTATATGGGGACAGGGCCCTACCCATTGAGCCACAGGCACTGCCCTTCTTTTTTCTTTTTAAAGCACTGACTGCAACTGTTCTGCAAGTAATCTGTAAAACATTTTAGTGATAAATTCTTTTATCTGAATCTTAAAATTTGGGGTTATCTATGTGTGAAATGTTACCCTAGAGCAGGGGTCCTCACACTTTTTAAACAGGGGGCCAGGTCACTGTCCTTCAGACCCCTGGAGGGCCGGACTGTGGGCCCGGGATGAGTCGGCTGCTAAGCAGGACAGGCCACAGCAGCAAAAACACACGGTGGGCCAGATAAATGTCCTAGGCCGGCTGCATATGGCCCATGGGCCGTAGTTTGAGGACGCCTGCCCTAGAGTTATCAGTAATAGTTATAATCTTTGTCTAAAGTTATCTTTTTTCTCACTAGAAAACCTCTTAGAAAATGAAATGTGGTTGGCCCTTCGATAATATAGCTGCTATTCTAATTTTGGTATGCTTGACTTAATTATCTACACAACTAGGAGTGATTAATTGGCATTTGTAGAAAATGTCCATTTAATTCAACAAAGGTACGTGTGTATACGGAGAGCATGGCTGTTATTGTAGAAAACAGTAAGAATAATCAAATAACCCCACTTTCGATACCATACTGCACTGTGTAAAGAATGGGTCTGTTATTCTGAATACAAAGCTTGTTTTGTGTTTTTTATTAGTGATGCTGTGTTATTAGTAGGGTTAAAATGAATTGAACGCTTAAAACTGCCATAATTGTCATTTAGCAAATTAATAACATCTATGATTTACTGAAAAATTCTAAAAGGAATGAAGCACTACAACCAATGTCTTTTATGTGCCCCTTTTGTTACCAAATTCCATGTGCATTTTAACTCAGTCCAATAAACAACTAGCTAATGGGCTTTAAATGGCAATTTTGCATGGTTATAGTTAAGACATGTGGTTCCTTCCTTTCTTTCTTTTTTTGGAGACAAAATCTCAAGCTATTGCCCTGAGTAGAGTGCTGTGGCATCATAGCTCACAGCAACCTCCAACTCTTGGGCTCAAGTGAGTTAAGACATGTTTGGAATAAAGAAAACTAGACAGTTTGGGGTACTAAATTTTGTACATACTAAAATACGTACGAAAAGGAAATGAGTTCATCATCTGGTTGGCCAGAAAGAAAAACTGTAGTGGTCTTGAGGAAAGCAATTTATGAATTCTTTTGTAGGATTCTAAAGCTGAAAGTGGATAAAAACAAAATGGTAGCCACAGCTGGTGTAAAAAAGGCCATATTTGATCGACTGTGCAAACAGTTAGAGAAGATTGGGCAGCAGACTGACAGTGAGTATTCTGTAGTTCAAGAACGTGTCATTGGAAAATTCAGGCTTCACTCTGGGAGGCTGTGGAGGGTGGATTGCCTGAGCCAGAGTGAGACCTCCTCTCTAAAAAAAAAAAAAATAGCTGGGTATTGTGGTGGGCTCCTATTGTCCCTGCTACTTGGAAAGCTGAGACAAGAGAATCTCTTGAGCCCAAAAATTGGAGGTTGCTATGAGCCATGACCCTCTACTAGGGACAACAAAGTGAGAGTCTGTCTCGAAAAAGAAAAAATGCAGACTTGCTGGTAAAAGTTAAATATTTTCTTTTCTTTTTTTTGGTAGATAGACAGTCTCACTTTATTGCCCTCAGTAGAGTGCCATGGCGTCACACAACTCAACTCACAGCAACCTCCAACTCCTAGGCTAGGCAATTCTCTTGCTTTAGCCTCCAGAGTAGCTGCGACTACAGGCACCCACCAAAATACCCAGCTATTTTTTGTTGTTGTTGCAGTTTGGCCGGCTTTGAACCCACCACCCTCCGTATATGGGGTCAGTGAGCCATAGGTGCCACCCAAGTTAAATATTTTAAAACTGGCTGCTTCTAAATTCTGTATTTCATGTGGACCAGATAAGTTTTTAGTGAGAAAATTGGGTTTTCTATTTTTCAAGTAAAAATAATAATTTAATAACTTCTAAAAACATATGATTCCATGAATCTATGCCTGGAAAATGGGTTCTCTGTTAACATGTTCCAATGATAAATGCACTGAAGCTAAAATAGAAGTGAACTTCAAGTCTGACAAGAGAGGTCAAAGAAAAGAAAAGGGCAAGATCATTTGCCTCCTCATCCTCGTGTTTGGTCAGTCAAGGTATCTAATATTTATTTGTGATCTAAAATATGTCCAAATACCAAAATTGAGAATAGGAAATTAACCTCAATAATAACCTTGTTCCTTAAAGGAGAACCTGGACATTCGGCTACTCCACCACAGAAGAAAATGAAAACAGTGGTTGAACCCCCAGCAAAGGGTAAATTTTACTAACTCTGTAATAACAATGAAATTAGTACATTATGGAGTCTAGTGAGGGTTAAGTGAAATAATACTATTTAAAGTGCTTGGTTCACTGCCTATCAAGCATAAGATAAGTACTCGATAGATGTCTTAGAATGGTTGGAATGTAAGGAAGAGAAAACAGTGATAGCTAAGCCATCACCTAAGCCAGGTGTGCTGGCATCATCCTGTAGCCCTAGCTGCTTGGGAAGCTGAAGTGGGAGAATTGCTTAAGCCTTGGGATTCATGTCTAGCCTGTACAACATAGTAAGGACCCATGTTAAAAAAAAGAAAAGTGGCTACTGTTTCTACATTTCAGTTCAGTATCTTATTTCCTATTATGTTAATTAATTAGACACTTTAAATCAGGGGTCCTCAAACTAAGGCCCACGGGCCATATGCGGCTCGCTGGGTGTTTTTGCTGCCGCTGCCTGTCCTACTTAGCAGCCGACTTGTCCCGGGCCCACAGTCCGGCCCTCCAGCAGTCTGAGGGACTGAACTGGCCCCCTGTTTAAAAAGTTTGAAGACCCCAGCTGTAAATAATTTCGCTTTTTTGCTATTTCATTGTTAAACATATGAATTTTGAAATTGTGATAATTTTCTCTTATAGAAATAGAGAAAGAAGTAGAGATCCCACATAAACCACAGAAAGATGAAGATCTGACACAGGATTATGAAGAATGGAAAAGAAAAATTTTGGAAAATGCTGCTTATGTTCAAAAGGCTACAGCAGAGTGATTTCAGCTTCTAGACTGGCAGGGCATGCTTATACATTTCAGGAAAATTTAAGGCCTCTAGAATTTTGTTTGAACTTCTGTAACAAGGATCCTAAGACTATTATATTAATAGCAAAGAAGCCAGAACTGGGGTAAAGTTCTGTGTAGTGGGCTGTCCCCTGATGTGGGCACCTTGGATCAACTACAGTGCTTGACTGGCATAGCCTCATGTGTTCCTAGAAAATAGAATTGGAGCCATTTTGCTTTGAATAGCAGCCTCCTGTCCTATTCAGAATATAAAATTCAAGCTTTATGGAACCTTACAGATTTAAGTTTTTGTGAAAGTTTTTTGGTTTGACTAAATCAATATATTGTACAGTGTAAGTTAATAAATGTTATATTTATATGCATTCATGCTTTACTTGTTATCAGTTTGAGGGAATCTTTGTTATGCTAAAAGTTATATCTAGCAGGATAAAAGGTACACTGCCCATGAGAGCACAAACTTGAATCAGACTTCCTGGGTTTAAAACCCTGCTTAGCTACTTAGCTACCTGTGAAACCTTAAACAAATTAATTAGCTTCTTTATGCCTCATCAATAAAGTGGGAATAAGGCTGGGCACAGAGGCTCATGCCTGTAACAGCATTCTGGAAGGCCGAGGCAGATGGATTGCCTGAACTCACGGGTTTGAGACAAGGCTGAGCCAGAGCAAGACCCCATCTCTAAAAATAGCCAGGTGTTGTGGTGGGCGCCTATAGTCCCAGCTACTAGGGAGGCTGAGGCAAGAGAGTTACTTAAGCCCAAGAGTTTGGAGTTTGGGGTTGCTATGAGCTGTGATGCCAGGGCACACTACTGAAGGTGACAAAGCAACTCTATCTCAAATATATAGAAAAAGAGTAGGCTCGGTGCCTGCTGTGAGCTCAAGTGGCTAAGGTGCCAGCCACATACACCTAAGGTGGCGGGTTCAAATCCAGCCCGGGCCCACCAAACAACAATGATGGCTGCAACCAAAAAAAAATAGCCAGGCGTGGCTGGCACCTGTGGTCTCAGCTACTTGGGAGGCGGAGGCAGGAGACTCACTTGAGCCCAGGAGTTGGAGGTTGCTGTGAGCTGTGATGCCACAGCACTCTACCCAGGGGGACAGCTTGAGGCTCTGTCTCAAAAAAAAAAAAGAGAAAAGAATATACTTAATATGCTTTGAACATCTTTTAAAATTTAATTAATGGTCTTTAGAAATGTTTGTAGCACACTTAAGAGCCTCACATGGCACAGATTGAAAATCAGTGTATTAAAATATAGAGAGAATCACATATAGAGGTCTCAAATAAAACATTATCCTTATTCTAAAATTTGGCACTACACCAAGGTTTTTCTTTGATACATAGATACTAAAAAATGTTACCTTAGTAAATACTACTTATTTTTAAACCATGGGGAAAAACCTTCATGGAAGGTAAGAAATTGCTAAGAGTATCATGCCAGACATGATTTTAACTAAAATTAAGAATATATGATCTTATTAAATATTTCCACAAGGAAGCAAAGACATCTAAGTTTTAAAAATCTATTCAGGATGGCATTAAACATAATAATGGTTGCCTTTTATTGGCTACAAGTAAGGCATAATACCTGTTGACCAGAGTGACTAAAGATAATTGCTCTCTTTTACCCTAGAAATTTAGCAGACTAAAGAAATGCCACATTCAGCTCAGCGCCTATAGCTCAGTGCTAGAGCGCCAGCCACATACACTGGAACTGGCAAGTTTAAATCCAGCCTGGGCCTGCCAAACAACAACAATTACAACCAAAAAATAGCTGGGGGTTGTGGTGGGCACCTATAGTCCCAGCTATTTGGGAGGCTGAGGCAAGAGAACCACCTAAGCCCAAGAGTTGGTGGTTGCTGTGAGCTGTGACATACCAGCACTCTTATCAAGGGAGACAAAGTGACATTCTGTCTCAAAAACAAAAGAACAAAACAAAACACCTAGCATCTGAATTTTTTCTTTTTTCTTTTTAGAAATAGAGTTTCACTCTGTCGAGGGTGAATGCAGTGGCACAATTGTAACTCACTAAATCTAAATGCTTGGGCTCAAGTGATCCTCCTACGCAGCTAGGACTACCAGTATGTGCCACTACACCCAGCTAATTTTTTTTTCTTTTTTTTAAAGACAAAATCTCATTGTATTCCCAAGGCTGGTCTCAAAGTCCTGGCCTCAAGTGATCCTCCTGCCTCAGCCTCCCAAAGTGCTGGGATTGTAAGTGTGAGCCACTGTGCCCATTCTCAACATGTATTTTTTTTTTTAAGACAGTCTCACTTTGTCTCCCTCAGTAGAGTGCGGTGACATCACAGCTCACAGCAACCTCAAACTCTTGGGCTTAAGTGATTCTCTTGCCTCAGCCTCTCAAGTAGCTGGGACTACAGGTACCCTCTACAACATCTGGCTATTTTTTGTTGTAATTGTCATTAACTAGCACGGGTCGGTTTCTTTTTATGTCTTTTTTCTTTTTTTGTTTTTTAGACAGAGTCTCACTTTATTGCCCTCAGTAGAGTGCTGTGGCATCACAGCTCACAGCAACCTCCAACTCCTGGGCTTAGGTGGTTCTCTTGCCTCAGCCTCCCAAGTAGCTGGGACTACAGGGACCCGACAGAACGCCTGGCTATTTTTTTGTTGCAGTTTGGCAAAGGCTGGGTTCATATCCACCACCCTTGGTATATGGGGCCAGGCGCCCTACCCACTGAGCCACAGACACCACCCATTGGGCCAGTTTTGAACCTGCCAGCCTCGATGTATGTGGCTGATGCAGTAACCACTGTGCTACAGGTGCCAAGCCTCTCGACATTTATTTTAAGTGTAAAAGACATGCCAGAATTTGGAGACTTACTATGAAAAAAGAATATAAAATATAGCTGTAATTTTATGTTGATTACATGCTGAAATAATATTTTTAATATATTGAATTAAATTATTAAAATTAATTTCAGTGGGATTTTTAAGAGGAGCTACTAGAAATTTTTTAATTATGTATATGACTTTTATTATATTTCTGTTGGGCAGTGCTACTCTAGATTAAGGTATTTTTGTACCTTTTACTGGGGAGGAGATTCATAGCATTCCCCAAAGAATCATAAGGCCCAACGAGGGTAAAAGCCACCAGTCTAGATAGAACTACAAAATATCTTCTTTAGTTCCTTCTGGAGGCTCTCTTTAAAAACCCTTTTTGGAGAGCTGACACTTGAAAAATAAAATATTTTACTAATCACTGTTACTATCTCATCAAAGGGCAGCTTCCAGCACCTATCTCTTTGGATATTCATTCATTATCTAAACTTACTGGTACTTAAGTTTTAGCTTCCTGACAAGGTTATAACTGCAGCAGCAAGATAACCTCTCCATCTCTGCCTCTCTCTCCACACCCATGTCCTGTATAATTTTTATTTATTTTTTGAGACAGAGTCCTGCTCTGTCACCCAGGATAGAGTGCCGTAGCATCATCCTATCTCACAGCAACCTTAAATTCCTGAGCTCAAGTGATCCTCTTGCCTCAGCCTCCTGGGTAGCTGGGTCTACAGGCATCTACCACCACCCCTGGCTAGTTACTTTATTTTTAGTAGAAACAGGATCTGGCTCTTGGTCAGGCTGCTCTTGAACTGAGCTCAAGCAATCTACCCATCTCAGCCTCCCCAAGTGCTGGGATAACAGGTGTAAGCCACTGTGCCTTGCTGTTCTGTGTAATTTTTAATAATAAAATACTCCTTTTAATCATTCTGTAAGTTGACAAAGTGCTTAAATATACACATATAGAAGTTTGTGGATGTGTTACCATGTTGAGACCAGTGCTATCTCAGTGAGTTGTGTGCTGCAGCTAGTCTGCAGTGCATGTAGGAAAATACACAGTTGACCTTGAACAACATGGACACTAGTGATATTGAACCCCTATGTGGCTGAAACTCCAAAATGACTTTTGACTGCCCCAATTTAACTATAATAGCTTGCTGTTGACCTTACCAATAATATAGTCAGTTAACACATGTTTCATACATTATATGCATTATATATTATATTCTTACAATAAAATAAGCTAGAGAAAAGAAAATATTACTAAGGAGATTGTAAGGAAGAGAAAATATGTATACAGTTTACTGAATACATATTTAATGAATATTTACTATTCATTAAATGGCAATGGATCATCATAAATGTTTTCATTGTCATCTTTGAGTTGAGTAGGCTGAGGAAGAAGAGGAAGGGTTTGTCTTGCTGTCTCAAGGGCAGCAGAGGTAGAAGAAAATTTGTGTACAAGTGGATCTGTGTGGTTCAAGAGGCAGATTTATATGTATGCAAGAAATTATATTAAAGAATGGCAATATTAAAAGTGAAGTATCCTTAATAAAGTAGCAGGAGAAAAGTTTTATTGCCTCATAATGTATCATGAAGGTATTTCAAAAAGCTAAACATCCTTATTTCTTATCTCTTTTTTATAATTGTATATCAGTTTCCAGACTTACAAGACCAGAAATAGAAATTCATAGCCAAGAAACAGGGATCAGGACAGGGCAGAATTAGGAGAGAGGGTGGAGGTATATAAAGATTTCAGAAGCATATTCAAAAGGATCATTACTCTGATTTAGCATGACAGTTGATATATTTTGAAATTTCAAACTATGATGTTGATTCTCAAAAGGGAACATAAGTTAAAACAAGTTGGAGGATCACTGTGTTCAATCCACATTGCTTGGCACTAGCGTGGAGTAAAACAGAAATGTCAGCTCACACCTGAACAAACCAAAATTCTAGGAATTCCTTGTACTGGAAGAGATAGTACCGAGTGACAGGCACCTATAAAAAGTCTACTGAGGTCTTTAATCAGAGTAAGTTCAGAATATAAATTTGACATATGCAGAGTAGGAGCTTCCTCACATACCTAAAGCATGCTGAACACTTATCACCAAAAGTAGGTTACTTAAAAAGTAAACACAGCATTTCAAACTTAATGATCTTACAAGTCAGAAAACAGTTCTCAGGATGCTTTCTTTGGAGCCATTTTTTCATCCACAAAAAAGGCAACAGCAGACCTTTTTTTATAAAATAAGTAAAATCAATAAGAGTAAAAGGCTAGATTATTTAAAATCTTGAGTCATCTCTTCATCACTTCACCACTGGCCTTAGTATGAATTTCTGGGCCCTTCAGAGCAGCAGAATTGAAGATTAGGGACCAGTTGGGAATTTCCTTAACCTGTTGGCAGCAGTCACCACGTAGAAATGTTTCTTGAGGTAAGAAGAAAATAAAAGAAAAGAAAAGGAATATTTTTAGCCCAAGGTCTTTAAGAGAAACAATAAAAGGATTTAAGTGACTCTAAAAACTTTTTCAAAATGGATAAACTAAACGGGAACAATTTTAGCAGTACAGTCACATGACTTTCAAGAGCATGTTTGGGGTGAGTATCAAGTGACAAGATATATTATCCCACCCACCCTTTTCATGTAAACATTGGAGCACCCTTGAACAGTGTGTTTCAAACCAGTGGGTCATGAAATCGGATTGGTAGAGTGTAAACGTGACTTTCTGTTTTATTTATTTATTTATTTTTGAGACAGAGTCTCACTGTGTTGCCCTTGGTAGACTGCAGTGGCATCATAGCTCACAGCAACCTCAAACTCTTAGGCTAAAGTGATCCTCTTGCCTCAGCCACCCAAGTAGCTGGGACTATAGGCGCCTGCCACAATGCCTGGTAACTTTTCTATTTATAGCAGAGATGGGGTCTTGCTTTTGCTCAGACTGGACTTGAATTCCTGAGCTCAATTGATCCTCCTGCCTCGGCCTCCCAGAGTGTTAAGATTATGGGCATGAGCCGTCAAGCCCAACTAAGCAGCACTTTTTAAAAATGAATCCAAATAGCACAGAATAGAACACAAAATGCACAGAATGCATCACACTTTCAGAGTAAATGTCATGAAATTTTTGTGCCATGTATGTGCGTGTGTGCATGTATACGCTATGTGCTGGCTCCCTACTGTGTGTGCATGTGTATATGTGTGTGCATGCATGTATGCACATATATACTGTGTGCTGTCTCCCTACTGTGTGTACATGTGTGTGTGTGTGTATACTCTGTGTGCTGGCTCCCTACTGTGTGTGCATGTGTATGTGCATGCTGCGTGCTGGCTCCCTACTTTGTGTGCATGTGTATACTCTGTGTGCTGGCTCCCTACTGTGAGTGCATATGTGTGTGGGCACACCATGTGCTGGTTCCCTACTGTGCATGCGTGTGTGTGTGTGTGTACACACTGTGTACTGGCTCCCTACTGTGTGTGCAGGCTACCTACTCTGTGTGCGTGCATATGAGTGTACATGTTGTGTTCTGGCTCCCTACTGTGTGTGTGTATGTGTGTGTGTGTGTACTCTGTCCTGCTCCCTACTGTGTGTGCGTGTGTGTGTGTACACTGTATGCTGGCTCCTTACTGTGTGTGCAGGCTACCTACTCTGTGTGCATGCATGTGAGTGTATATGTTGGTTCTGGCTCCCTACTGTGTGTGTGTGTGTATATGCTATGTGCTGACTCCCTACTGTGTGTGTGTACTCTGTGTGCTGGCGCTCTACTGTGTTTGTGTGTGTACACACTGTATGCTGGCTCCCTACCGTGTGTATATGTGTATATAAGCTGTGTGCTGGCTCCCTACTGTGCATGCATGTGTGTGTGTATGTGTGTACACTGTGTGTTGGCTCCCTACTGTGCATGTGTGTGTGTATGTATGTGTGTAGGCTGTGTGCTGGCTCCCTACTATGCATGCGTGTTTGTGTGTGTACGCATGTATGTGTGTA